TAATGCTGAATTAAACCTGGGCATTAAAACTTACATTAAGTCTTTTGAAATTACAAAATGGTATGTATTATAGCAAAAAAAGAGAGAAAAAGAAATGGATACATCAAGATTTACAGCTCTCACACACAGTGCTGTCAGTGATGGTAGTTTGCTCTTAGAATGGAACTTGGTCATTAAACAAGGACCTCATCAATTTTCATCAATTAACTGAGTATTTCTGTGTGGTTTTGGCTTTTTCAAATGGGAAAACAGAGGCTTCCAGTATCTTAGTCACTGACACAGAAAAAATTTAAGCTGATGTCCATCTTAACTGCATCTTGAGGAAAATTTTTCCACTCCAGCAGTCACTGTATGTTTTCACTTGGTATTTCATGTAACCTCTAATGTTAAACAGTGAATGTTAAATTAATTTGTGTGACAAAACTTATAATATAAAACTTAGAGCTGAGCCCCTCAGAATTTAATCACAGAAATAGTCATTAACAGGAAAGAACATGAAAATCGATCTGTTTAAGGATTTACAAATTAAATTGGGGCAGAGGAGGGGGCCAGTTATTACAAAGTAATTCTGAAATTTCATGTTCTACTTCCTGTTCCCACATGTATTCCGCTGCAGAGGCAAATTCAGTAGTTACACCGATTTGTTCCTGTTTGTGCGTGTGGGTAGGTTTTCACAAATTTTTTCAGCAGTATTTGAAACAATATTTGAAAATTAATGTAGCAATGTTAGTTTCCAATGTTTGCATAGGCATTCATTATGATGCAGATACTGTTGTTTGTATAGTATGATTTATTCTTTGCAGAAGTATAGAATGTGAGGAAAAGATTCCTGTAGCAAAGATGCAAATGCGAAATGAGATGCAATAAAGTGTTAGAATGGAAGGGTGAAAGCCTAGCAAATGTACATTTGTTCCATATCTGAGGTTTGGATTTTACAAAATTTATTTTAATATGTCAGAGGAGGAATGTCTAGAGATTGCAGGTCAGTTATAAATCTCCTTTTTTTGAGGCTTCTCAGTCAAATACTTTTCATATGTACTGATGTTCGTTCTTTAAATCACTCAGAATATTTCCTGATCACTACAGCAAATTAGGCAAGTTTGTAAGAGCAACAAGTTTAAGCCAAGCATTTCCTCATCAGTTCTGATTTGTGATCAGTTCTAAACACAGTTACTTAAATAAATATTTAATATGGGAAAAAATCTGGTACGTTAACCTTTAAGATTCATTCCCAGTTAATTCGTATTCCTCCTACAGAGCACATGAATTTACTTGTACTGAGTGTGCCTCCCTCTTTGTGACATGACTGTTCCTAAATGTCCATGTCACTATAAACTACACTACTGTGGTTGTATATACTGCAATAAATGAGTGTTTAATAGAATACATGCAGTGCAGTGTGTCATTAGTATTATTTTGCTTTCTTGAAGAAGCTTACGAAAAACCAAAATCAAATACCAAGGCATCTGAAATGTTAATGTAGACCTGGCAAGCTGTAGATGTCTAATTGTTCGTCAAAGTATATTCTGAGTTCCCCCCAAGAATTTTGTTCAAGAAGTTTATAAATAACAGCTTTTATGTAGTATTATAGGGTTTTGAGATGTTACTTCTGTTCTTTTTTTCTGGTTTAAAATGACTTCATTAAATTCTTTGCATGGACATTCCAAATATAGTGTATTAGGATCATTGCAGTTGATTGCATTGCTAGAGCTATACATTTGTATGCCAAAACCCAAAATCTGGAGTACATTAATAATTTTCAAGATTACAAAATTGTAAGTTAATTTTCTTTCCTTTCTTTAACTGATTTACAGTTAGTATTTTGGAAGTGCATTAAGACAATTGAATAGGAGTTAAGTCCTGTTGAGTCTCCAGAATAAAAAAAAAAAAAAAAATTCAATAGATTTTAATTGAATACAGCTTAAAAAATCCATTTCTTCTCTGGAAGCTAATAAGTAAGCAGTGTACAGCTTCACTTTCTCCTTTCATTTCATTTGACATTATAGTCGCAGCCAAGGAGCCGGTATTTATCCATTCCAACAGAAGATGTTGTGTTAATTTCAGCAAAGGATCTGCCTGGAAAAAACAGTCAGGTAGCTTGAGTCATCCTGTGCCATGGTCCATATACAGTAAAAGCGTGTATTATTATAACTTTCCAGTATCAGCGAGTGGATGTATATCTTCCTGAATTGTATCAGCATGGGAAATAAGATTGGTACCTGTGGAATCCTTCTGTAAAAAGGAATCTATTCTTCTATATATGCCACTAAAAATATAACTTATTCCATACTTCTGAGAGAGACTGGAGTCATAATAATAGGGTAAATTCTATGCTATGTGCCCAGAGTAGTAAAAAAGTGATTTATGAAACAAAATGAGGGTCTTACCTCCCTGTAATTAGGTGTTAACATCTTCAGAGTAGTGAAAAACATTAACTTGTAAAGTGTATTATGGAGAAATTTTTTGTCAGTCTGTATAATTAACTAATTTTCCATATTAGAAGAGTCTCATACAGGAGATCTTGTGACACAGCTGTTGTACCTGCCTTTTGTTCCTCTTTTATTGGTGTTAAGGTACATGGTGTGTGCTGCTAAACACTGGCAGTGTTTGTAATTATGCAGCCTTCCAGTGATAAAAAGTACATTTCAGCCTGCTGATTTATAGACAATTGTGATCCTCACACTTAAGAGCAGCACGTCTTTCTAACTTTGGTGTAAGTCATTTGATGGTTTCTTTGCTGCTTCTAATTTTATCCAATGCTTTCTCATACTTAATGCTTTCTCTAGTTTTCCCCAAACCAATATTTGATTCATGTTAATTTAGGTGTTAATTTATGTCTTGACCCCAGCTGAAACCCGTATAATTTACTTGGATAATGTCTTCAGGAATACTTTCTCTGCTTTACCTTAGTACCATGCCTCAGTTAAGGTACAAATCTAGTTTTTGTGATTTCTGTCACTGAGAAGTGACCGGTGAATCATTGATGGGTGATCAGAGGTTTCTGTCTGTAGTGTGAAGCTATACACTGTGGAAACCACAGGTACTTCCAGGCTTGGTTTGCATATGAGTTCCAGATGACTTTTGACTTTATGTTGGAATGAGGCAAATTCTGGTCTGAACACTGATTTGAGAGTAAGAATACCAAACTGCTCAAGCTGGAAGGGAGCTGTGTTGTGCTCAAATGGCTTGTCTGACGGGCACATTATGGGCGCCAGGGTTACAGTGCGCTGTAAAACTCACCCTTCCATTTAAATTTATCTTAAGTTGCCCTCTATAGGAACCTGCTTCTCCTCATTACTATAGAGTGAATTTCATGAGATGAACCTCACTACTGGGGCATTTAGATAGGTGGTGAGATTTTTTTTTTTTAAGGCCTTCACCTCCTGTTGGATTAGAATGGCACCTGCTTATAATCGTCTTTATTGCTGGATTATTTTAGCACATAATTCTTCAGTATTATATCATGCAGTAAGACCGATAAAGCTGCTCCAAACTTCAAACAGGAAATTATAACAGAAGGTGAGGAAAATTAATTGCATTTATGTCAACTGCCTGTGATGCAAGAGTGGGACAAATTAATCTCCAATTACCTGTTTGCTCCATTGATTTCTTTGGGGTTATATTAAGGAGGAACATGATCCATTATCTATTGCATTGCTAGGAAGTAAAAAAGAACATTGATTAAATATGCCCTCATAATGAGTTGTAATGCTGCTTACTTTACTTTAAATACACGAGAAAATAGACTTTCTTATTATTGTGGCTATTAGAGCATGCCAAATCTCGGATGAAGTCTGCTTTCAGCAGAGTTCTTTTTCCACTTAACGCCAAAACTGTGTCTCACTGAAATATTAGTCCATTCAAGCCAAACAATGAAGGCAGGATGTTTTGATTTTGGAGACTTGAAACCTTTACTTTCTCCTGATGCGTATAACATTTTTACCTTTTCAAGAGCAGTGTTTCTTTGTTATGTTCATCTTTTCAAATCTGTGTTTTCACAGAAGTAATAGATCAAGTTGTTGTACAAGCATCCTTTTTTTTCAGAAATACCCTGAAAATAAATTATTAAACCTAAAGTAATTTCAAGGATTTTGTATTCTGATTGTCATTTTAGTGAATCAGCAGGTATGAATATTAGGATTATTTAGCCGGTCTATGAATGCTGACAAGTCATGGAAGCTAAAGGGTGTTTATTTCATTTATTTCAGCTGGACCAAGTTTAAACTTTTTGTGGCTGTGAGACATTTTGTGATCATTAAAGTACTGACCAGCTGAGAGCCATAGTTGCACAAACGGGGATGTATTTAAGAAGATAGAGTTCAGTGATGTAACCTTGCTATTCAAAATTCCCTAAACATCATCTGTTTGCATATTTTTCAGTATTATCATTGCTGTGTTTGTGAATGGAAAGACATATGCTAAGCAATTTGTCTTAAGTAGAAGCTGACACAGTGCTAACAGCACTGGAAGCCTGCAAGGCCTGGAGGAGAGGAGAGAAAATACAGCAACTTAGTGTAACAACTGTCAGCTGTGAGAAAGTAGCAGCGTTGCTCAACCAGCTACACTGCTTTAGGGATCTTTGTTCATACAGCTCCTCGTGTTGCTCAGACTGAGAGAGTGAAATTCCTCTGACATACTAACACTAGGCAAAATATGCTGGTAGGTTGAAGTATAACTGTAATAGTACATCCATAAGTTGTGCATATTTTGTAGACTCATGGGTAGTTGTTGGTGTGGTTTTTCGCTTGTTTTAGGGATCAGGAGGTTTTTCCATTGTATCGTTAGTGGCAGAAGTCGTCTAGAGTTACAGTCCTGCACCAGAAATGTAAAATTGTTAAACAATATGGTGGCAAAGCAATGGTTAAATGATACATTGATATTAAACATTATAAAATGCAAAGAAGGGGACCAGACTCTCTTTGTGCTTCTGTTCAAAAGGAAGGGAGGTAGGATGTAATGCTGGTGACACTTTTAATATCTGAAATCTTCTTCCTTTTCAGCGCAATCCTCCCATGCTGGTGAATGATCTGTTTGAAGATATCAAAGATGGGGTAATGTTAATTGCCCTTTTGGAGGTTCTTTCAGGACAGAAGCTGGTAAGAGCTTCCTTCCTTCTTGATATATAAGATAGTTGCATAACTACTCTAGGATATAATTTTCAAATACGTTTCTCTATTTGTATACTGTAAAAAGCCTCACTGCTACATAGCAAAATGAGTTTATTTACAGAGTGGGCTATCTGGTTACAAAGCAACAACAACAACAAAAGAGTATTAAAGACTGACATTCTTTAATTCTATGCATTTTCTATTAATTTTGTCTTAGTAGTTCATAAAAATTGCTTATTTGTAGTAGTCTTTGCAGTTCATCTCGGTATTACTAAGACACAAAAAGGTCCAAAACGCAAGTTGTTTCTATACACCTTGAAGAAATGACAGTCTTTTCTTGTGAAATTTAGGGCTTTCTCTCTAAAAAAAAATTAAAAAATGGCCCCTCAAATTTCATGGGGTCTTATATCCATTTACCTTGACAGATGCTCTGCTACTCTAAAGAACCTTAAATGATGCCAAATGTTTTTTTCAAGTTTTGGGCAGAGGCCACGTTGTGTACATGGCAATAGGCTGTCTCTTGGGAGCCAGGCTAGTTTTGTGTGGGGGAGTAAAATGAAAGGGTTTTAGGCCAAGGGCTCTCACTTTTTCCAAGCCAGCTAGCAGAGTGGATGGCAGCATCTGGAGTAGGGCAACAGTCTGTCATTCATCTTCCTCTAGGGTTCAGACATTACCTGTTCCCACACATGCAGGCAAATTGCAAGTATCACACTTTTGCCTCTTTTTCATATTTAATGTCTGTTGTGATTGCAGGTGATACCCAAAATTAGATACTTTACTGTAAGATGGGAAAAGATCTATACTTTCAAGTGTGTTTGTGCTCTGTTGAAATACACCTATTTCTGTTTCTGTTCGTCTAAGACAGAAAGTCTCCCTCTTGTGGCAAAACAGAAGTAGTAAAACAAATAATGACAGCACTGGATTGTATCCTGCCTATATTAATTAGTGAAAGCCAAAAAATGTTACAGAACCAGAATAATGTCTGGTTAAGTTAAAGGTTATGTATACCATAATATCATATTCTGTGGTAACTGCAAGAGGAATTTCATCATCTATAGCAGGCCTTTGTTAAATCCATTTGTAACTTTATGAACACAAATTTAAATGGTAGTAGTTAAATATTTGCATTACAATATAAGATTCAGTGGGGAATTTAATTCCACTGTAGAGTATTAGGAGCCGATGATATGTTCTTGATTTAATTCAAAGAGTTCTGTCTTTTTTTAGCCAACATGTCTGAAGTTCAGCAAAATTAATTGTTTGGTGAGGGTTTGTTTGGGTTATTTAGTCACCAGCAAAGTATTAAGGAGAATGGATGAAAAATCTCTTGGTAAAATGTCTTCACTACAGCCTGTTTTTTTAAAAATAACAACCACCTTGACGTCTGCTTTGCATGCAGAAATATTTTGAGTGAATGTTGCCTTCTCTCAAATACATATATGTGTGTGTCTATAAAAATAGTAGTAGTTTACTTTACATAAGAAAAACAGTTCTCTGATTTGAGGAAGTTTTTTGGGATGAAGCTGACAGCTTGCATCCTGAGGTTATTAAGACATATGTAACATTTTTATAATAGAAGTATCACATTTATGTCCCCTCTATCTGTTAGTCCTCCCTGTTGGTATATGCAAGGATACAATTTGACTGTACATTTTTGCATGTAAGTTAGACTATAGTATGTACTCGGAGTTTACCCTGTTCTTTCTCTTTTAGCCTTGTGAGCAGGGACGTCAGCTGAAGAGAATTCACTGGGTTGCCAACATTGGCACAGCTCTTAAGTTTCTAGAAGGAAGACGGGTAAGTTTGGTAGCTCTTAGTCCTGTTTTTTCCTTCTTTTCTTCTTTCTTTCCTTAGATGTATGATTTGTATCCGCCTTCCTGTTCTTATTCTCCAAGATTTGCGCTGTGTATGCAGTCTTCAGTTTCTACACAGTGCCTGAAAACTGCGGTAAAGTAAAAATGAAAGATCCAACACTAATATGTAACAATGTATGGGGTAAAACTCCTTTTTAAAATTTTTCTAGTTAGAATCACCTAGGATGGTCTCTCTTCTTTTTTTTTTTTTTTTTAATATTCTCTCGAGCTCTTCATGTTCTCTACTTTCCTGTTGCTTTTCTCAGCAAAGAACAATGACCTTCAGTTCAGTGGAGGCATTCATTTATAATTGAAAGAGTAGATTTATGGATTTCACTAGGTTATACATGCAAAGCTCTACTCCTTGAAAGTATAGACAAGAAAATTTAGAATGGTATGACCCCTTATTAGCTTGTCGGGATTTAAGACTTTTTCCTGGATTGATTCTGGCAAAGTCAGTGCTGTGGCCATTTTAGAAATGAAACAAAATAATTTATAAATTTATCAAAAGACAGAAAACCTAGAAACTCATTGTTATCTAGGTATGAATGTCAAATAAAAGCAATCTACTACCTTTTTCCCTGACTTTTCTCTCTGTCTTGTAATGACTTGTATCTATCTAGTTTTTTAATTAAATTGCAGATACATTGTTCTTCTAATTTCTGCATTTTTGTTCAATTTTTCTCAATGTAGCACCTGATGAATTTTATGTCTCCACAATGCTGTACACCAGTAGTTGTTGGATCTTGGCATTCTTTCCCTCTCTTTAATCCTATGGCATCTTGACCTAATTATATTTCTGTTATATGGGAAACTTAGCAGATGCCTGTAGAAAGAAATCTGTAAGAGAACTTCTTTTAATTGAAAAATGCATAAACCAAAGCAAAGACAAATATATTCCTAAAGCAAAATTCAGCTTTAGCTCACAATTTCACTACTTTATGTAGTACGGTTTGTTAATACAATGCATATCATCTTCGGTCTGAGGGAGAGTGGAGTCAAAGAGAGCTGCTTTCTGGTGAGACCTGTATAACCTAAGACAAGGCTGGGGTGAAGTGCAAAGACCCCATGCTTCCCTAGTTTACGTGTCACAACATAGTGGATGACTCAAACTTTGAATGACCCAGTTTAGGTCCCAGAAATAATACAGCAGTGCAGCTAGATAACTGACCCTGCTGATGATCAGGATAGACTGCCAGAAATGGAGCACCATATTCTTGCTTCTGCTGAGTATTTCTATCTGGACTTAGTTATTGTTTTATATACTTTGTATCAGTATGCCAGATTTTGTTCTAGAGAGTGTTGAAATACACAGTGTGTTAGGTAGATTGGTGTGCTTTAGCAGGTGATCTCTAGGTCGAATCCAGCCTGATGGGTGCATCTATCCAGTCTGGCACCATTTTCCTCACAGAGGAGGTGGGGATGCTGTTAGGACAACAAATGCTTCCTCACCAGCTGAGTGCAGTCCCTGGTCTGTACTCAAAGGTGAACAAATGGAGATGGGCGGAGATGCAGCGCTTTGGGGAGTGTCAACAGGGTCTCCTTCTTCCATGGGCTCGCCATAAGTAAAGTTTATTACATATTTAATCAACTTCCTATTTTCACTGTCCAAACAGACTTCTGCATATACTCTTGTAATACTGCAAAATGCAGCTGGAAATTAACAGTTATCATTCTGGACCAAACTGTTTCTTCTGTGATTCTGAAAAGTTTAATTTATGGCTTTAAATAAATTTTGATGGAGTATAAGACAAAAGTAACACAATAACTTGACTAGAGACTATGCTTCTGTGAAGAGTAGCCTAAGCAGAAGCTTAGCAGAGTCCCTGTAAATCTTTTGATCTGTACCACATATAAGAAAAACCTCACTTTCCAAAAAAATAGAAACTTCTGTTGGAATTGGTCCAGCAGAGAGAGTGAGACTCTTGATATATTTTTTTTAGGTAGGTAATAGAAAATTTTCCTTATTGACAGGTAGAGAAGCAAGTAATGTCAATTTTCCCAGATTTCCCAGTTTTGTCAGATTTCTTTGTAGAGAGCACTGGAAATATAACCCATGGGGATTTCTCCTCTGCCTCTTCCCAAGCATCTTTTGGAGTTTTAATTCTGAAAAGAGCTTCACAGCCGTGAACAACATTTTTTTTTCCCTCTTGACATTATCTAGTGGGTTTCCAGCTTCTGATTCAGAGAACTGCAGTATTTTCTCTATTTTGGGGAGATAAATGAGGTCACATGAAATCATTCTCCTGCTTCTCTTTAACCTGTTCTCCAAGGTTGTTCCATAACCTTTGTCCATGAACATGGTTGCAGTGCATGAACACTTTAGGAGCCCTTCATATTTATATCATGATTGGTGTCAAACTCTTAGTTTTGCTGAGGAAGTATTAGCATATTTGCTAATTTTCCAATACTACCTGGTTTATTCCATTTCCTTGAGCTACCATTAATTTATTTATGATATACTTTTTATGCCCTCCTTTAGTGCCTTTTATTTTATGATCTTATTTTAGTGTGATAATATATTCAGACTATAGATTAGCATTTGGAGGTTAAGAGTCATGGAATCTGTTCCCATTTCTGTTGAAAATCTTCATGTGACCTTGGACAACTTATTTTTTCCAACTCTTTCTTGTTTTAAAAGAACTATAGTCAGGTTTGTCTTGCAAGGGAGAGGTGGTATTGGAGAACTGTGGCATTCTTTTTTCCTTTATCTTTCTTTTATGCTTTCTCCCCTTCTTTTCGTTTTCTTGTTTATTCTTAAATTCACTTTTCTCTTTCCATTAAATCTATTAGAGCTATAGTAAGAAACCCCTGTATACGTTAAAATCTGTTACAGAGTATTTACTTTCCTTATTAATTGTCTTGTAAGATGTGCCAAAACAGCGATTTCTTTGCATTATAAAATTAAATTAATTCATTTACCTAATAATTTCTCATTTAAAACTTATTTTTGTATCATCTTTTTCCCTTTGCTTTTCATGCTAGTCCATATACAGAGGATCTCCGGTTTGTACAATGGTTCTATGTAATTTTAATTGTTTTTCTGCTTGAAATTAATTATTTATTTTTTTTTACAAATAATAGCATGCAATGGTCTTAAAAATCTTCCATTATCTAGATCTATGCTTGTCTAAAAAATGAAACTTCACCATTCAATTATTTTCTTTAATTAAGAAACATGATTTATTGCAAAGTGCATTACAAATTTAAAACCTATCTGAAATTAATTTCAGAATTTTTAGCATTCTTTGTATGTGGTAATAACATGTTTTCTTTCCTATATAGATTAAGCTTGTCAACATAAACTCAACTGATATTGCTGATGGCAGGCCTTCTATTGTGCTTGGCTTGGTGTGGACCATAATTTTGTATTTCCAGGTACTACATTTTTTATACTTCAGTGTAGCTTGCTCAAATGATAACTCTGATCATTATTTTGTATGAACTGGTGTGGTTCCAGTCTTCCACCATAGCTAAGTGACTTTATAATTAGCTGAGGATTTGATCCTGTATAAAGAAGCAGTTGATGTTAGGCATGCTTCACATTGGGTAAAATTAGATACTTGTCTTTGGAATAGATCGATCTGGGCCTAGAATGGACTTCCTTTATCACTGGAACATATTCTTCCACTTTCTCTGAAGCATACAGCAGAGCAACAAAAGAAAATGGTAGAGCTGTGTATTCTTGTTACAAGTAGCTTTAGCAACCCCAGTGATGATTATGCTGTATGTCTAATTTCAGTGTGCTTTATGTCAGGCAGTAATTATATTCAGACAATACATGTAAACACCCTGATTTCACTGCGAGATGCAGATATTTACAAAGATAAAATTTAGCTGTGAATAGTGTAGATTGAGGGGTTTGAATTTGTAGAGGAGAAATGATTCGCATTCTGTTGAAGTTAGGTGGGAGGAAGAAATGGTTTTCTAAATCCTGTCCATATGAGTTAACAAAATGAGTCACTGCTCAACAACTAAAAAAAAAACCCTGATGCTGCTCTATGAAATTCTTTGGCTTTGCCTCTCTTGTGATGCAGCTTTCATGTCAGAGATGAACATGTTTAAAAAGAAAATTAGATAGCATGTTTAAAAGAGAATTAGATAGCAGGCAACTTAAACATGTTTCATGTCAGGGAGAACAGGGATGTTGATCTCCTAAGCACCAAAAAGTGTGATGCCTCAGTGGTTCAGATCTCCTTTTGAGAAGAAAAGTCAGCCAGAATGATATTAATTTTTTTATTTTTTTTTTTTTTTTAAATTTATAGCTCATTGAGATGAACAGGGAAAATTATGCTTCTCAGAGTTATTGAAACTCTAGTTCTCTGCATCAGTTTTACTTGGGCCATTTTTTGAGCTTTTATTTAGTTGTCACAGGCAGATATGTCATTTTAACAGGAATGAAAGCAGAAATGCATGAGAGTTGTGGTTCTCATTGTGGCAGACTCATTCTTTGATGTGACAAAACTTTGGGTTTTAAGTAGACAGCATAGACAATCTTGCAGCATCCTCTGGATATAACTTTTTCATGTTAAAGTACCAAATTGTTAGTCAATTTAATGTTCTTAAGAGTCAATGATTTTCATTTGATGAAAGGCAGGATGCAAATAACTGTCATACACCCTCTGCAAGCACTACTAATGCACTTTGCCTGCAGTACTTTCACTGTTCTTTCACAAAGGTACTTCTAAGCAAAACTGCAATTGAATTTGTGCCAAAACAGTACAATGGTAAATAAAGTACTATCCAGATATGATCAGTGAGGTCACTTCCATTCTTTAATTGAATGAGCCTCCTCTGAAATTAGTGGATTATTTTATAATTTGAATTCAAGGTAAATGTAAGACATCATCTCCTATTTCAATGGTAATTTGTGATAATAGATAACATGACGCACTTGCATATTGTTCTAGCTGTAGGGTGTCAAGAAAGTAAATGATTGCTAGGTGTCAGGTACTTCTGAAATCAAGACCATCATCTGGGTACATACATAAGCATTTTTGAAGCTACTTTAATGTACAGTTAAATAAAACACAGCATGTTAATCATAGCTTCTGCCCAACTTTCTTTTCTCAGTTGTATTAGGAAATGTAAGAAACAAGAAACAAGAGAATCAAGTCCATTAATATTTTTTCCCCACAGATTGAAGAGCTTACCAGCAACCTCCCACAGCTGCAGTCGTTGTCTAGCAGTGCTTCTTCTGTGGAAAGTGTTGTCAGTTCAGAAACTGCAAGTCCCCCAAGCAAACGGAAGGTGGTAACCAAGGTCCAGGGAAGTGCCAGGAAGGCTTTGTTAAAATGGATTCAGTACACAGCAGCGAAGTAAGTAAACTGCAAATCAACTGAATTTATATCTTAACTGCACATTTATTCTTCAGATTCTAAACTCTCTTGGTCTGGGATTGTCCTTTTGTACTGTATTTATATAGCACCTCCTTGTGATCATACTCTTTTTGACATCTGAGGCTGCTAAATGTTACCACCATACAACAAGCAAGTAATAAATAACCATTTGCATTAATTTTACAAGCAATCATGTTTTACAGCTTCTGAATAATCAAAGGGATTAGCTCTGACAGAATGAGGAAAGGGGAATTAGATTCCTGAATGACAGGGTATTAGTCCTGCTGCCAAAACGCTCAATGTGACAATGCAAGTCCCACACCAACTTAGCATTCCTCAGTGACAGAGCTTATAAGAGCACTAAATTCTGGCACTTGATGTTGAAAGGTGAAGAAAAATTGTGAATATCCTTCTGCAGTTTTGAGATACAAGGGACATATTACTACAAAAATTGTCCTGAATTTTCATTCTTTTTAATCCAAGTTATTTTGGAGTTATTTCTTGCTATTGCTTGTTAACTTAAGACTCTTCTCCTTTATTTGATGTAATTGTCTGACATTTGGTCTTCTTCTGAAAAGGCATTTAAAAAGTGCATAAATTATGTCAAAGATACAATAGTAGTTCAATGGATTCCACTATAAGAAAATAAAAATCAAAGATGTAAACGAATAAAATGGATTTATTTGTTCAAATTAAGGAATCACTGCTATTTAAAGAGGTCAGACATGCAAAATGTGGAGGGGAAATGGCCAGTTATGGAATGGTGCCTCAGAGAAAAGAAATGTAATTGTAAAGATACAGACTTTCTCCAGTTCTCCAGTAAATGGGTAGAATACAGTAAAGTGTGGTACAGTCTAATTTGGCATTCTTCCTATTGCACTGTTTTCAGTAAGACACAGACAACTGAAAGTGGTCAACTGCAATTTTCAGACATATAAACAAACAAAATACAAAGAAAGAAAGAGGTTCATAAATGAAACTGTCAACATTATTGGGAAGAGTAGGTGAAATGTTTTGAAAGAAGCCTAGAGGAAGAATGGTACTGTTTGCCTAGCCCTGCTTCACATTGTAATTTGCAAGGACTTGCTCATTAAAGTCAGTGAAAGTGTTTCACTGATCACAGTGAGCTTTGAATGAAGCCTCATTCAGAGTTACTGCTGTGAACCTCCCAACGGTAAGACTACCTTAGTGTCTAAGTGTGTCCTCAAAGGAAATTTTCATGCTCAGACAAAGTAAAACAGAGTCTTGCAGCCTGTGGACAACCATACCTTTCAGAATTACTTTTAAAAGAAGGAGTCAGAAGTGTGACGCAGTTCTGATTACATTCTCATTGTATGTTGCTATTTCCTGATCATTTGTATTTAGTGGACATGTAAGTATTATGGGTGTATGAAATTATATTTTCACTTATTCTTTTGGTAAGAATATAAAGAAATCTGCGTGTTTTATTTTCACCTGAACAGTGGTGAGTCACTGCTCATGCTTTTATTTTAAAAATAATGGGGTTTTGCAGTCTTTTTTTTTTTTTTTTTTTTGATATGATACTGATGTACTTAACTGAACTGCAGTAGTTATAATGAGGGAGAGAATAATGGATGAAGCTGCATACTTCCACAGACTCTGTCTGTCGTGTAAGAACCTTAAAAACATTGCCGCACTTCATCGGTTCAAAATACCATTGGCTTATTTCCACTAGCAAGCCAACTGGGGGCAAATACAGCATGCATATCTTAAAAAAAATCTTGGATTTTCATAGGCAGAAGTGAGTTTATGCAGTGGATAGATGGAGCTGTAGTCAGCATGATTAGCACTGCAGAAACAAGAAGTGGTTTAGGCTTAATGATGATGTTCAGTGGGTATACCAACCTGTCTCCTTCCCTATTTCATCTCCACCTGATATTGTTGCAACTCACTTCCTTTTTCCTTTCATGTCCTTTAGGCAAGTTGGAATTGAAATCAAAGATTTTGGACAAAGTTGGAGGAGTGGTGTTGCATTTCATTCCGTTATTCATGCTATCCGTCCAGATTTAGTGGACATGGAGAAAGTGAGGGGAAGGTCAAACAGAGAAAACCTGGAAGAAGCCTTCACACTTGCAGAAGCAGAACTAGGAATTCCAAGGCTCCTTGATCCAGAAGGTATCTAATACATAGTTGAAAAATGTTTGAACTACTTGCATGGGTTAAATCAGAAGTGCTAATTCAGTGTTGTGACATTTAAGCAGCATTTTGTGCCATCTAAAAATTAATTTACCATGTTCTGTACTTGTCTAGACGTGGATGTTGACAAGCCAGATGAAAAGTCTGTCATGACTTATGTAGCCCAGTTTTTGAAGTACTATCCTGATCCTCATCATACAGTGACTGATGTGCAGGAGAATGATGTAAGTGTCTCTTACATAACTATACTAATCAGTTTATCATGAGGGGGGCTTTATAAATATATTTTATAGCTTTGCCATAGTTTATTATGTTTCCTTTTGATTATGTTTCATCTCCTTTCAAGTGAAAAGCAAGCACAGTAAGAAAACTGGGAAAGATTAGCAGAGAATAAAGGAACCAGTGTTGCACATGTTTACTAGTAGATAGAGCAAATAGAATGGTGATCCTGCAGAGATTTTCCTATTTTCAACAGTAGGAGCCAAAATGAACCCAAACAGTTATTGTAGATAGTAGCAAACCAATGGATCCTAAAGTTTCCTAGGAGGCTTTCAAGCATAACACCAATCAGATTGCAATAATTTATTTTCTGAAGCAATGCACCACTTCTGTTTCTATCACACTGGGTTTCTGGATAAGAACAAGAACAGCCCAAGAGATTATAGTCTCTGGGCTTTTAGGCTCGAGAGGCAGTTACAATTTTGACACAGGTTTCTTTCTATTGCACAGTGATATTTGACTATTCACTCTAAGGAATTGTTTTCAGTCATGCTTTTTTCTTGTTTTTTTTGTTTGTTTGTTTGTTTTGTGTATGCTCTCGTGCATTGGCTTTGCACTAGAATGGCTACACTCAGTGATGCCAAGTGATCATGACTCACTTCCTAATCCTGATCATTTGCTTTCTTCATGTCAAACACAGGAAATACTGCTGAGACAATCTGCTCAGCCCCAGCAAGAGAGGAGGAGTAAACACTTTTAAATCTCTGTTTCTTTGCATTCTCTACAGAGCTATAGAAGAGCTTTGAAAGGAGTGCATCTTCTTTATCATTAAGCGTGGCTAAGGCAACTGTAGCTTTGCAGTCCAATTCCAGTGCCTGAGCACTGGAATTTTTTGTTTTCCTTGCTGCAACATTGGTCTGAGGACATTCATGTGCTGATGCCACAACATCCCACTGAGCAATGGGGCTGCTGAAGCCAAGGGAGTGAGTGCTGAAGCCTTACACTGTGGCCTGTGGCAGGCTAAGGCCATCCTGTCGTCTCCATACTATGGCACACAATGCAGTTTCTGCTCCCAACAGCCTTGGGCAGGTCTGTTGCCTGTGCTGGGGTTGTATTTTGAGGAGCAGCCTCACCACCTTATCCTGAGCTTTATGCAGAGAAGATGCAGGAGAATGTGAGACTCAGCCACTCCGCACTCCGCATGCCTCTGGCTATACCCACATTGATGATAGCACAAGCTGTGAAAGGGAAACTACTGAATTCCCTCCAGAATTCCTAGGAAATTCATCAGTTTGACATGCTTAACTCAACACCACTTCCTCTTCCTAGATACCACTAAGATATTCCAGTACCAACCCAAGTGAATTTTGGTAGAACAGCTGGTTCCCTGCATGTCACACAGAAGAAATCAGTAACTCCTAGCTATTGAGAAGAAAGCAAGAATTTGACATTGCAAATAAATTTATTATGTCATTGTCTTAATTTCCCTGAGAAAGAACTATATTCCTTCTCACACCCCTGATGGAGTGCCTGGAAGTTTGGGACAAAACACTTCTCTGGTGGAGTCTCCAGTCAAGAATTGAGATGGGGCCCTCATTTTTTTCTGAAACAAATGCCGCTAATCCATCTTTGGAGAAATTCTTATCCCTATCAGGCACCTATGTCCATGCTTGCTCCCTAATCCTGTCCAGCATAACTTCCAATTCTCTCACCTCTGGTCATGGTACAAAATGGTGACCACATGGCATGTGATAGATTGATGGAAAAGAGATCTGGATGGATCCAGGCCAGTAAGCAATACACAAAAAGTCCAGGACCCCAAGTAGTCACTGGCCCTGAAGCAGTGAAATATGTATTAAAAACAGTACAATGCTTTCATCTCTTTGGGACTGGATAGATATAAGCTCTCAAATGGCTAAACTTTTGGTGCACTTTTATTACTATAATCTTTTGTATTTCTATCATAATACACACAGAGAAGCTTATTTTGCACTCAGCTACTTTATTTATGACTTTTCAGGGAGAATCTGTAAACAGATAATCATATTTCTCATACTCAGAACTTGCATTTTAAGCTATTTGATCTGCTCTGAAGAAAATCATATTTGGCAGACTATCATATACAAATTTCAACAAATGTTAGGACCTTAGTTTACACAGCTCTGTAGGGGATGGGGAAAGAAGCCAGGACTTAATGCAGTTGATCCTGTGGACTGAAGGATACCTAGATAAAACAAGATATCCAAATAATCCTTGGTAAAATGAGTGTCATTCATCTTATATGATACTTATGGGGAGAATCCAGAGCTGAAAATCCAACAATGCAGTTTAAAAATATACAGACATAAGGATTGCATTCCGTATTTATACAGTATTTGAAGGGAAAATTGAAAAAAAAAAATCTCAATCAAGTACTTTGTAGTGAAATATCTTGTGGAGTTTTTTTCCCTGAGTGCTTTCACATGTTTTAGCCCAAATTCTTAATTGTGTATGAGTTGGTGAAAATTAAACAAAGGATCATTTAAATCACGAGGTTAAGATTGTCACAACAGCAGATTCAAATTGATAGTGTTGCCAGCAGCTCAAGGGGAGGTTGCTAGCTTGTGAGGACACACTTGGAGCACTGTTTCCAGCTCAGGATCCTCAGTACGAGAGGCATGGACGTATGGGATAGAGTCCAAGGAAGGACCACAAGGATGATGAAGGGACTGGAGCACCTCTCCTGTGAGGAAAGACTGAGAGAACTGGGACTGTTCAGCCTGGAGAAGTCTCAGGAAAATGTGGATAAATACCTGAAGGGAGGGTGCAAAGAGAACAGAGCCAGACTCATCTCAGTGGTGCTCAATGACAGGACCAGAGGCAGTGGGCACAAACTGAAACACAGGAGTTTCCTCTGAGCATTATGAAACACTTTTTCACTGTGAGGGTGATGAGCTCTGGTACAAGTTGCACAGAGAGGTGTCTCAATGCTTGGAGATATTCAAAAGCCTCCTGGACGTGGTCTTGTGCAGCCAGCTCTAGGTGGCCCTGCTTGAGCAGCAGGTTTGGACCAGATGACCTCCAGAGGTCCCTTTCAACTTCAGCCCTTCTGTGATTCTGCAATTCTGTGATAATCTTTAAGAGCATAGTTGATATATTTGAGATTTTTTTTTTATGGAACAGCAACAATAGATATCCTCTTGCAATGCCAGAAAAATGCTCTTTTCTAAATGGCATCGTACAAGAATGGAGATTTAAATGCCTTTTAAAAAAATAGAAAAGTGGATTCTCTTTATAAGAGCAGGAACTGTTTTCTTTAGTACTTAAAACATTCATGAACTTATCATTTTGCAAATTTAAAGGAAATTTTTTTTAATAGAAACAACTGATTGGTATCATAGTATGACAGCTGACTTTCTTGACCACACAAGCCATTTAAGTACCGGTTTTAACCCCCTTCTGCACCCATGGTTATTCTAATATTCACCTTGCTAAATTATTCAACTGGGCAAAATGTAAAGGCAAAAGTACTTTTTTTCTCAGTGCACAGAGTTGGCAGTGAATCAGATACGAGATATTTGTGTGACTATAATCCATTTAGATTGAAAATTCATTTGTTCTGTTTCAAGAGTGTTGTCCACAGGTTCTGTTCTAGGTACACAAACATATGCAAGATCAGACCAAACATGTAAGATGAGTTAATTTTAAAATTGCCCTTTTGTGTTTTGTAAAAACAATATTGGATGCCCTTGTGATCATAGTAGCGAGCAGCACAAGGTAGAACTGTATCTATTACCTGTTTCTTCCCTCTTACTGACCTGGAATATCCATCTCCATCATAAAGCTTTCCTTAGGAATTTTGCATCATTTGGTTAGTTTAGTTATTCATTACTGGATTCATCCATCTTTAAGAATCTTAAAGCTAGGTACTTACACTCCACCTGTGATCAGCAGGAGACAGACACTTTTCCAGATAGCATCTTTCTTAAGGCTGTGTCCTAAATAAACTGTCTTCTGGAAGTTTGTGTTGCATAGCATTTCAACAGAGTTAAAACTGACTTAGGTGAATCCTTCCCTTAGGTAATGACAGATAAAATGTTGTTGGCAGTTGATTAAAAATAAATCCAGACATGCTTTATATTTTCGTGACCAGTATAATCCCCCTTTTCTTAGCCTTGCTGTCTTCACCCTGAAGTCTTGTGTAAGGAAAAATATATCACAGAATGGTAGAAACCAGGAAACTGGGAGAGAGAAACTTGCAAGACTCTTATCCCTTAAACTCCTGGGGTACTTTTAATTTATTGTTTTCCAAAATTAAGCACTTTTAGTGTATATTTCTTCTGACCTGTGTTAAGTGCCTACTATAGAATGAGATAAGTTGGGTAGTAGGTGCTAGATACAACTGTTTTTTTCTATCTGTGAAAAAGAACGGAGAGAGTGACTATCTCAGTTGCAGATGCCTACATTTAGTTAGAGGAATTCTTCTTCAGAGTGGAGTATGTCTGCATGATTTTTGATTGAGGGGGCAGGCAGGATTTCTAACCCTCTCCCCCTGCCCTCCAGCTAGCTCAGCTACCCCTGTGTCTCCTCAAGATGTGTTGTCCACACAAATTCCTATTCATCTTCCCTCTTGATTCAATGCTCAGTTTATAAGGAATTTGCATTGGAAGAAATGGAGTAATGATTGAAGCTTATCCCTTATTTGTGGTCAGAGGGAACATGTATTTGCCTGTGCATTTCCTGAATTAAAAGGGTTCTAATATCTCATGCATGGACCAGCTATGCACATATGTGAACTTGTGTAGTCAACACATCTCAAAGAATCACAGTTACTCTAAGGTAAGTAACTGTTTTTCCAGATAAAATAAATCATGTAGTGACTAGTAATCTGAAATTAGATCTAATATGAAATCTACTTCACTATATATGATACAGACACTTTATAATATTTTAAGTACATCTTGTATTCTTACATGTGTGGCTCTTTTATTGTTCTCTCTGCACTTTCAGCCTGCCTTGCTTCTTTTTTTTTTTTTTCCCTTTTTCTTGTTTTCTCATTTATTTCATATTGCTAGGAACTTCAAGCAATCCCAACTTTTGTCATTTCTTTTATGAAATTTAAGGTAAGAGTAATGTGCTCCAGAATAATAGCTTGAATTGGACCTTTCATGCTTGTTATCTGTTTTTATCCTGCACTTATTTGACTTTAAATTTGGGCTGATTTTATGTAGATGGTTTTGCTAGCCTTATGTTAATCTTTCCAAAAAAGTTAATAGATGAACATAACGAATCTTAATCTACTCTCTTCCATGAGCTGATCCTAACAGCCTAATGCTTAATTTTGCAAATTTCACAGAAATATTATAGGAAAGTCAACTTTCCTATAATAAATCTCATACTATGCTTTTTGTTGTCTGAACTATAGATATAAACATAAAGAAACAGATTATAAGTCAATGTTTCTTCCCATCTAATGTAATTTTAGATGGGTATTTTTGTCTTTAGGTTTATAGAGTAGATACTAAATTGTATATATGATTGTGTAAGTGATGTATGTGGTCTGTGGGTTGGAAGGAGAGAGAGCATTCATGTATAATTGCATGATATGCACTGCTTTTTACAAATAAATCATGATTCTTAAAAAATATACTTTTTAAATCATCTTGGACATACTTACAATTTTCTAGTATTAACTGAGAGAAGTTCAGAAATCTAACAGGGAATGTTTGAAATGAACATTCAGAGGTGAAAATGGAAGACTGCAGGAATTAATATGTTATGAAACAGATAACAGGTGTCACTGCAGTCAGTCAGTAGTGTTTGTAGCTTGACCTGATCCAACTAATTACCTTGGTTCCATGCTCATCTGTGTGTCTTTTTTTTTTTTTTTTTTTTCCCCTAATATATAAGCGATAGGTTATTTTCAAATAAGTATGATTAAGGGTTTATCTCATATTATGTATATCTAACTAGTGATGTGTGTTGAAGTGAAGATTAATACTGATAGCAGAATTATTTCTGTCTTCTCAATACATTTGATTAAGTGTTAGCAGCTTTAATGGGACCTTGTACATTCTTAGCCTTACACCACCCCAGTGCATTGCTGCTTAAGCCAGTGAAAATTTGAAGTGGTAAAAGCTCTGTCAATTTCTTTATCTTGGTATAAATTTAACTATAAAGGAAGCATGCTCCTTCAAAGTATTCCTGATGTCAAGTCCTTCTCTTCTTATGCTCTAATGTGCAAGTAATTCAGAAGATAATCCTGCCACTTCCAATATCCTAATGCTAACAGAGTTCCTCAGTGTAAGAGGAATTTCCTGAGCAGCAGCTCCAAAAATAACTTTCTGAGCTCTTGCAGTGATTTACTGTCTACTTTTACAGATAGGCATTAATAGTTCATCCCTGAAAATGATACTTGGCTCAGCATTCATCGTGCATCTGTCATACTGTTGTCAGTGAACCTGTTTCAGTAACACATATATAAGAGCCAGATTTTTCAAAAGAAATAACATTATTAATTTAATTCATGTATAAACATTTTTTAAGGGACTTGATTTTCTCAGCACATAGGCAATACAATAGTTCAACATCCCTGAAAAGCAGGTGACATAGTTTTTTTATATTTGAAAATTCATATTTGAATAATTTTGTCCTGCCCAAAGAATTTGAACATTTCACCTGGTTTGTAATTACATAATAGAGAACTCAACAAAGTACTCCTTTTCCAGTCCATAATTAAATTTTTCATGAAACACAGATGTGTATTTTTAGCTCTTCAAACACTAGAGTATTCTGTATTATGTAATTTTCAAATTAACTATGGCATATCAGTTAATAAAATAAAATTTTGATTTTGAATCTGGGCTGAAAACTTTCTTTGTAAATTTAAATGATACCCTCTTATCATATTGGACTCATAAACACTTTTCTCTAATTACCTTCTTTGATATTCTTTGGTAGTTGAGTGCTCCAGTTCTGTTTATCTCTGCAAATCGGTGAATATTCATAGAATGGTGTCAGGATAAACTAGTACATTAAAATGCTATTTGGAAGTAGCATGCAAAATAAGTCATAGTGGCTTAGATAAACTGAAATAAATGTGATGTGCAGGCTTTAGAAAATAGTTTACATATCTGTAAGAATATCCTTTTGATCTTTTTTTACTAAGAGTAAGAACCACTAGGCACTAATGCAAATCTTTTTTTAAGAATTGTAGTTAATTAAATGCAGGGAGTATTGGTAACAGGTGCCTTGGTGTCTAAGAAATTGAATCTTTTATGTTGGTTACCCAAACTGAGGCTTTAAAATGCTTTTGTATCAACCAAGGACCACAGAACCAAGTTTAGAGGTGGTAAGTGATACATTGAACTGGAAACCTGTGAAAATGTATAAATAAATAAATAAAATGCTTATTATGCATTGTTGCACAATGTCTTTAACAACATTCAGTTAAGCGTTTACTGAAACACATCTGCAATTAAATAAACAAAAAATTGTCTAATTAAATAGTAAAAAAAACCCCAAAACATAGAAGGCTCAGTGTCACCTGTTAACTTTATCTATTTACCTAATGTCAGAGAAATGGTTTGAGAGGTGTGACGGTTCCTGTGTTCTTTATCTGCAGGTACCATAGAGTTGTTCTTGATCCCAGTAATATTCTATTTCCAAAAGATTTGGTCAGACCTAGTTTTAGCCATTATTAAATTTTTAAGCTATGTTCACAGGAATCTTGCAAAATACCTGTTTTGCTCACATTGCTGTATGAACAGTTGCAGCCACATAGCTGCTTTTGCAAAGACTTAGCTTAAGGAGGTGCTTCTCAGCAATAAGAATGTGAACCAAGAGGAATAAAAGCCAGTGTTTTACATAACTGAATTTATAGTGTAAAAGTAATATACACAGCATTGTGACACACTTATTCTCTTCCTGACTTCAAGAATATCTTACTGTTATAGGACTTTCAGTCCAGTAAGATCAATAGTTTAGTATTGCCTAGAATGCAGCTGACAACTAAATAGTAATAGAAAACTCAGTAATCTCAATAAAGTTAAAACTTCTAATGAATACAGTACATTTAATACCACAGTCCTTTTTTTCTGATGACCGAATGAGTTGAGTTCTCTCATATTTTTCTCCTCATAGGGGAATAGTCCTGGCTTTGCTGTTTATTTCAAATAATCTTTATGTTATTTTTCCACATGCAGAACCAACTATCAGACCAGAAAAGTAGGATTTTTATTCTCCTTCTCTATATTTAAATGATTTAAGAAGATGGAAACACTAGGAGTTTTGGCTTCTTGGGACAGTATGTGCAGTCAAGGAAATCCCAGCATTACAGCTAGATAGATAGACCCAGGAAGTGTCATGTGTCCTATACTGTTTCTCAGGTACCAGCTTTTGGCGAGTGTCAGAAGAGAGGAGCATGAGCTACAGTGAAATTTGTTCCAGCACAGCTGCTCTATCATGTTAACCTTACTGCAACTACCCAGCTAAGAATTTACTTAGCAAGTTAACAGACATAAGACCTGTGATATTTGCACAATCTGTTGTGCAAATCCTGTCCAACTGACTACCACGGTTTTGAGTAGAGGATCAATAAGAGAATTAGAAATACATCAAAGAGATTCTTTCCTATCTGAGGATCCTCTCCTTTCTTCAGCTGAAATGAAGCAATAATTCTATGTTTTTAAAATTAGTAAGAGAAGTTATAATTTACATATTTGAGGCAGCTTTCAAAGAAAGGATCCATAATTGGCTCCTTTCCCAGGTTAGGATCTTTTCTTAAAATAAATTACTTTGTTTCTTAAATACAGTCAGTGGCTATTCTTTTTCGTCACATGGTCCAGTTTTTCTTCTCTCATGTAATGTTTGAGACTTAATCACTCGGTTTAGATAATTAACTCATATGATGTGGTGTTGCACTTGTTTATTGTAATATAGCAGTTTCCGACAACTTTTATAGTAATGTGGCTTCTTTTATTTCAAAGAGTAGCAGTGTGCCCAGGTGGCCAAGAAGGCCAATGGCATCCTGGCTTGTGTCAGCAATAGCGTGGCCAGCAGGGACAGGGAAGGGATCTGACCCCTGTCCTCGGCACTGGTGAGGCCGCCCCTCGATTCCTGTGTTCAGCTTTGGGCCCCTCACTACAAAAAGGACATTGAATGACTCGAGCGTGTCCAGAGAAGGGCAACGAAGCTGGTGCAGGGTCTGGAGCACAGGTCGTACGGGGAGCGGCTGAGGGCACTGGGGGTGTTTAGTCTGGAGAAGAGGAGGCTGAGGGGAGACCTCATCGCCCTCTACAGCTACCTGAGAGGAGGTTGCAGAGAGCTGGGGATGAGTCTCTTTAACCAAGTAACAAGTGATAGGACAAGAGGGAATGGCCTCAAGTTATGCCAGGGAAGGTTTAGACTGGATATTAGAAAGTATTTCTTTCCAGAAGGGGTTGTTAGGCATTGGAATGGGCTGCCCAGGGAGGTGGTGGAGTCCCCATCCCTGAGATGTTTGAGTCGGGTTTACATAGCACTGAGGGATGTGGTGTAGTTGGGAACTGTCAGTGTTAGGTTAATGGTTGGACTGGATGATCTTCAAGGTCTTTTCCAACCTAGACGAATCTGTGATTAACCACCAGCACTTATGGTTCATTGGCTGGAAATTTGAGACGGACACTTGTATCCTACTTGGTTAGCCTGCTTGCACAGTGCACAAGAAAACTTTCTGTTGTCTACTAACCTTCTCGTATAACATTCTCACAGACCTGAGATCTGTTAGTATTTCCTTTTCACTGCCAGGTCACTGAATTCTGCAGAGAACTTTGCAGCCTTGCGAAGCATCAGTGCCATGAGAGACTGAAGTGTTAAAGCAAAACTGTAAAACAAATATGCTCTTCTTCAAAGCCATAAAATGGCATGTAAGGAAAAGAAACTGAATATGACCTGGTTTTCTTTCTTTTAATTTTCCTTGTTAAAACATTCTCTATCCAAATATTATGCTGACTTCTAAACTTGTAGCTTGATGTCGAGTATTTCCCTGAAGTCACTCAGAATTATTTTTTTTTTCAGCAATAGCAGACTAGTTAATAAAATAGTGGTAAAAGATTATAAGTCCCCTCCTGTCTCAGCTCAATTAACTTTTACTGAAAATTGTCTCTACAAATATGTGAAAGACTGAAATTAGCTGTTGAGGTATATTTAAAGGACTTTGTGTTAATTTAACATCAGATGAGATCTGAAAGTAATATTTTGTGACACTGCAATGTCCCAAATTGTCATGATTTCACCACTGTAAGACTCATGTATAGATGCTGAGTTATTCTCTTGTACTCAGGAAGTGCTTTTCAGTTGGACCATATGAAGATAAAGTATGAGAGAATTGGGCCCATATGTTCCATTGGTTTCACTACAACTGATGAGCTTGACTTGCTAGAGATGTTAATTTCTGGACTCTCTCTGACACCTCTACTAATAGACTGCAATGAATTTTTTGTGTGTGGTTGTACTAAATCATAGAAGGAAGACAGACTGATGCTGAGAGACCTAAAAGTGTGGGCAGAACAATTTGAAAGAGACTTGACCCGAGCACAGATGGCAGAAACAAGCTTACAGGAGAAATACCAGGTAAGCAGTAGGGAAATTTTTGTATGATAAGACATTATTGTCATCACTATGTGTAACATGTACTGCAGTATTTTATGCAATCTGTATATATGCAAGTCAATATACTGTAGTTAAAAGAAATAATGATACAAACTGTCTTGCCTTTTATTGGTGGAGGAATTACAATGTCAGCTCCAGCTTTGCTGCGTAGAACAGTACACAGATGGTTTGCCTAACACACAGCTTTTTCTAGCAGTGTGAATAAGGACTGTCCTACTTAGAAGCAAGCATGTGTCTGTACAGTCCTTCCAGATTCTGCATGATAAAGCTCAGGTGGGAGGTATGACTGAAGGCTGGATGATGTGACAGGTGGAGAGGACAGGGCTTAGAGTTTAATTTCTAAGCCCTCAATCAAAGGTTAATGTCTAAATCAGCAATATAAATTTTGGCCTAAATTTTTGCCTGAAGCTTGAGTGCTCTCTAAAAGCAGCCACTGTCTGTCCCAAGTAGCATTTAATCCATTTGCTAGTTTATCTGATCAGTAATTATTTCCTTTCATATAGAGTTTAGGCATCTGATAAATTAAGGGAAATAAAAAAGTCCTACTTATATTTCCCTGAAGGATTCTACAGACCATTAAAACTTTTAACAAAATGCATTTCAATGTAAATGTACAAGTTTACTGCTACTCCTCTTTAGGAAGGATTAGGACTTCTCAGTACAAAATTGTCATAACTGTAGTACTCCATAAATGTTGAAGAGTTTAATTGTTTGACTATGTGCTACATTGATTAGATTTAATTTTCTCTGTGTGCAGTCATTTAAGCATTTCAGAGTACAATATGAGGTAAAAAGGAAACCGATTGAACTTGTAACCCAGTCATTAAGGAAAGATGGTAAATTATCACTTGATCAAGCTATCGTGAAGCAAGCATGGGACAGAGTTTCTTCCAGGGTAAGTTGAAAATTATTATACTATATTTTTTTTTATTAAATGAAAGATGAGAATTTAAAAAGTTTAGGCACCTCTTTGCTATTGATTTTGTTAGTAATTAGGAAATTAAAAATAGACCAAGTTTCTAGCACTGTTGAATTATTTTGCATTTGTTTTGAGAACATTTACTGCACTATCATTTTAATATTGCTCAAAGAAAATTTTTAATATTGCTTTCAGAAAAGGACTATACTTTGAGGTTTCCCTGTATATGAAAGTGTATTAACAGTGCTTAGCCAAGTTCAAAACATTGTTGATAAAGAGAAAGCATGCACAATACCCCTTTGAAATGAGGTTTTTTAATGTAAATTGCTAGTGATCTGAGAAATTCCAATATAGCATTTTTAATATAACTAAAACTTTTTCTATTTAATGCTAAATAGTGTACCAATAAATGAGTCTTTAATACTGTTTTTGACCTTGTTGCAATAGTAGTAAATTAGTGTTTGGGATAGTAATTTTGTAACAATTGAATGAAAAATCCCAGGCAAGTTATATTGTTTTCCTGAATAAGAAGTTATTAAATCGTTATTACTCAGTGTATATTCATGGGGGATTTTTATGTCATATGTTTAGTAGAGGATCTGTTTAAAAATATGCTGGACTTTTGACATAATTTTCATTATTTTTTCACTCATATACTGGGATTGCCAGTAAGACACAGCATTTTACTGCTATATTCTCGACTTCACAGTCCTTTGAGACTCATTTGCACTTTACACATAGAAAAAATGTTCAAAATAGAGATAAAAAGATTTTATGCAAAAGCACAAAATAAGTGACATTGTGTGCAAGAGTCTCACATCCCTTGCCGTGCCTATTAACTGATGAATTTCCAGATCTTTAGCTTGCCAGTTGTTCCAGTTTATATGTGATCGGTTCTGTAACTCAGTTACCATTCTGGAAGAGAAATACATAAATGAATCAGTCCTTATAGAGCTTTTTTTTTGCCTGTGAGAGTGCTATAATGTCAGAACTAATGTGAAGTAATATATATATGTTTATGTCTCAAACACACTCTATTATGTGGGATTGTTTCTTACAGTATAAAGTCAGATTTTTCTCAAGATACTTGTTTGTATAATTAAGCAAGAAAGGAAGTTCAATCCTCTTACTTTTATTTCCTAGCTACTTGACTGGCACATACACCTTGATAAATCTCTTCCTGCACCTTTGGGTACCATAGGTGCTTGGCTTTATAGAGCAGAGGCTGCTCTGAGAGAAGAAATTACTGTTCACCAAGCTCATGAGGAAACAGCGAATACAATACACCGGAAGCTTGAACAACATAAGGTAGATCTACATACATTCATTCTGTGCATTATAATTCCTTGTTTCCAAAGCTCTAAATGATCCATACTGTGTAAAGAAAGATTATTATTTCTACTTTCTGTGGGTGACATCATCTTGATGGTAGCTAAAGCTAGGTGTCTTTTAGTGATGATTTGAACTGTGATATCTGTATATCTTACAAGAAGTATTCAAAATGGCTTTTGAATGTTCCTGCTTCTATCTGAAAGATATCAGGTATTGATATTTTAATTGTTCCCCTATTCTATTATTTCTGCTAGGTAAAATTCCATAGGGACCTCAGAAGTTTGGTACATTGTTCTACCAATATAAACTTCTTAAGTGAAACAGGAAAGAGAGAGCAAACGTACTAAGTGTGCTGATAGTCTGTGCAGGTGATATGCACTGGGTAAAAGAATAGAACAAAGTGAATTTTCATAGTGTTGTGATGACAAATAGAATGAGAAGTCTCCTCTGCCATGGTAAACAGAAAACTTTTCCAGATGAATTTAAATAACTTTACCATTACTGTTTCCATGAGTCCAAGATCTCATTTAAAATCAGAACTGTGAGGTTTGTATGTGCATTTATGTAATATATATGAGAAAAATATAGACAGAAATTGTTGGTGAGATGATAAAAGAAACTTGAACCAGTAAATATGATAAAGGAAGAAGATGGTATAGAGAAGGCTGCATTTGCAGCAGTAAGGCTGTATTGGTTTATGTTGTTTGTTTTTTTTTCTCTTGCTACTGTTTTTAGACTTGTTTGTGGTTTTGTTATTTTTGTGTATAGGATATGGGTGGGGTTTTTTATTAACAAGTAATGCCATATAATGAAAAGCTGAGAAGTTTCATGGTCATTTTGGAACAGCTGTAACAGATTGATAGTTTATCTGGAAGATCAGTTGGGTCTTCTGATTACTCTTTATTAGAACAGTGGCAGCTCTTCTAGCTTGAGTGGTGGCTAATAAAATTTAGCCAAAACAATATCAAAATCTACGAGGAATGTTGTCTTTCAAGGTCTAGTCTCTTGTAATGCTGAATATCATTAGCTTTCTTACCATCAAATGTTTCAGGATTCTTAAGATTTGACATGTGTATAAAAAAAGTGAGTCAAACACGGTTTTGTTCTTATAATGTGAACACTGTCTTTTTGATACATTCATACAAAACACAAAAGAGTGTGTCCTAAACTGTGTTTTCTTTGCATCAGAAATGCTGTAGTGAGGGATTTCTATGATGACAAATAAACTTTGATTTAGGTTAGTCTGTGCCAGGGGAGTTTTCCCATGGGAGTGGGATGGGGAAGGCGTCAGGAGAAGCATGTGTAATTATATCTGTTCATGGAGTTTGTTTTGTCACTTAGATTTGCATTGATGAATCCTAATGTTCTATTGAATAGTATCAGAAATGCCTCAGTGTATTTTTTTCAGTCCATATTTCCTAGGAAGTTGGTGGGGTTTGTTATGGTTTTGTTTAGGTAACATCATCCCTTTTTCTGTATCTTTGTCTCATCTGACAATAGGTTATTTTAGTGAACTTTATGGCTAATTTGAAGCTAATACAAAATGTGCCAGCTTATTTGGACAAATCTTCATGGAATCAGGCAGACACTTAAGTTTGTTCTAGTTATTATTGCCACCAAGATCCAGAAATGAAGGACAAATGTCTGTGTTTCGTGAGAGTCACTTTGCAGAGCGGGATTTCACTTCCTGAGAATACTATATAAAAATTTACATGGGCTTCAAATTGATTTTCAATGATACTACTGGATTTTATTTTGACTTACCAAAATTAACAATGCATGTTAGGGTCATCCCATGTCTGGCAAGGTCTCAAATGCAGCTAGCCGAGATACTTGTTCCAAGTATTTTCTTTATGTGAGAGCATGTTAGTCACTGAATACCCTCTTTGGAGTTTTTGCCATGGTTGATTTTACCATGGCATCCCTTGCATCTGAGAAAGCTTAGTTCATTTCTATTCACACCAAGGTGTTGGGTGAAGTGGAAAACAATGAAAATATAGGTGGATTGATGGGGATGGTGGGACCATTTGGTGAGCTGAGCCAGTGAATTGCCATTCATTTCTGCTGTGCAAACACTGGGCATTGACTGGGGAGGAGCCCTTCCTTGGCACGTAGGAATAAATAGACATCTGTGATCAATACACAAGCCTGCATTTTGTTCCCTTTTTAGGTGAGAAAGGGGGACCTTTGTATGATTTCCTTTGCTAATAGACTTCTGAGCACTTTGTGACAGGAGCTGTGTGTATGCAGTAAAATACCTACTGTTCTGTGTCCTCTCAGCCACTGGGGGCTCGAAGTGTTATTGTTACAGTATCTCTTCAAAGACTAGTGCCAGTCATTCATTTTAATATGTAATCTCCAGGAAGCCGTTAGAAGCGGTGTTGCTTAGTTACAGTTGAAATGTGCTCTGCTGTAAGGTTTTTGCTGGTACAATTCTTATCACAGGAATACAGGTCGGGTACCACATTCATTCGTGTAAGATAGAGCAAGCGATCCTGAAACCTTTTGATGCTGAGTAAAAGTTTGCTAAATATCGGATATGTATTTATATAAGGAGCTGTGGATCTTCTGCCTATATATAGCAGAGTAGATTAGTTGCTGAAAATTTTGAGTCTGCTTAATAAAGGTTAGTATCTATTATAAAGATGTAAAGAGTAAATTTAGCAAGATTATGCTGTTGTGATGTTAGAGTATTCGCAGACTGCTTTTCAGGGATTATTTAATACAGTTAAGAGTTCTTGTTTTGTTAAACCTTTGCAGTGTATCTTCTGTTTTAAAATATTCCATAATTGTTAGACATAGCTTGAGCAGAGCATCTTATAAAGGGGTTCCCTATGTAAATGTTCAAGTTGATGTAAATGCTTTTGTGGTATGCATAATCTTGCATGCAAATGTGAGAGCATGATCAAATAGTTAACTACATTGAGTCATCAGTGCAGACTTAAAATTGTGCTTATTAGTTAGCCTACTGTGAGCCTTCTTTCTCTCTTTCTCTCCCACCCTGTGTCTGTCTGTCTCTCTCCCTTCTCCACCCCCC